TAAATCTATTGCCGGCCAAAACACTGGTTTTATTAAATATATATTTTATGTTTAATAATAATGTTTTAATATTTATTGAAGTGTCTTAATTATTAATGTATTAATAATTTATAAGTTAATAAAAGGTTAACACAAAACTCATGTACAGATACACAGTGCTGAAACTGCTTGAAACTGTGGAGCCACTACAATAAATATATATTATAAATATTAATACATTATACCATTATTATTATTATTATACATAAAGTATATATTTAATAAAACCAGTGTTTTGGCCAGCAATAGTTTCACAGTCTGAGAGTGAATTTTCTCTGGGATAGATAAATCATGTCTATCTATACAGTGGCTAATTCAGCATAAAATTGTGTAATGAAATATCAAATATGACAGCATGGGCTATAACAGCAAAACAACCTGCATATATTTACAAACAGGATTCTTTACACAATTCCTTCATAAAGACTACTTCCCACAATAAAAAAAATTAACAAGTAAACAAAACCAAAAAATATTAATTTGATTTTAACTGTGGTTTCATATAAAATGGAGACCAGTTGAAACCAAAACAAATTTATTTATGAAGCAAATGCATGTTTAAGCACTTTGAAAACACTAAAATGCTATACACAAATACATTTTGACTTGGGAAATTATCTTTATTTGTCTGTATACATATTTTCAACATCCAACATCACATTGGATCACAATAAATCCAAAATCTTTTCAAACTTTCATCTTTACGTTACTCAGTCCGGGCTGAATTAATTGCAGAATTTTGTAAAGAACAAAAAAAGGAAGAAGAATATTAATATGCCTTGCAAGCACTGTAATTAAAAAGCAATATTAACGTGATCACAGAGTTTACTGCATGTAAACATACGGGTTTGCTTTGTGTAGAACAGTGTTCATAGTGCAATTTGAAGTAATACGTTGTTGCACATTCCCTTGACTAACATCAGCACAGCAAGGTGGAGAGTTGTCAGGTTCTTGTTTGACTGTGTGCACAAGGTTAGGACTCTTGAACTCACAAGTCAGCCGGATATCATGCTGCATGCAGCTTTTATGATCATTTGAAAACACATATCCGTCCTGACTGCTGATAGGAGCGTCAGAGTGATTCATGTCTTTGTTCAGGACGCACTTAAGAGGTCTGCTGACTCCTGCACACAGATACTTGAGGTGTCCGTTGATGGGAGGACTGATGACAGCTTTGCCCCTTTGATATGAAGTAAAAGAGTCATAATATTCAGCCTCGGTTTTCACCTGTGCATATTCAGGCCACCAAAGCAACCCGTATGCATTACACCCATTCTCAGAGTCTGAATCTTCAGTCTTAATGGCCGCTTCAGGAATCACGTTAAAACATTCATTCTGCGTGTACCTTCTCTCAGCCTTCCTGTTGATGCAATCACTCTCAAGCTTCTGCAATTCTGTGTTACACCCGTATCGTAATTTTCCAGAATGGCTGTGCTTATAGAAGCTTCCAGGCAGGTAGTTTTCTCTGGGCCCCGTGCGTAAGGCAACAGGACAGTGGGCGTCCCAGGAAGGATCAACAGCCTGCAATCTAGAGACGCCCAGAGTAGAAACACAGAAGTTGAGAGGTTCGTCTTGGGTTTTGCAGCCCTCTCCTCTGTACTTCCTGTTGGCCATGGCTGAACACGAACCATCATGACCGGATGTGCTTGTCCAGTTAAGACACTGCATGTCTTCACAGTCAAGCGAGCCATGGGAAACCCGCTGCCGCTTATCACTGAAGATGAAGTTAAACTGATTAAAAGATCATTTCTACACACAAATTACATCTTGTCCTGTCAAAATCTTTGTGTCCTTTACAAAAGACAAGGTACCATATTTTTGGATACTACTATGACTAAATAGTGTATCAATACCATGGTATATCGCCACAGTAATCATACAATACCACTGTACACTAACTTTCAAAAGTTTGGGATCAGTACGATTTTTAAATGTTTTTGCAAGACGTCTTATGCTCACTAAGGCTGCATTTATTTGATCAAAAATACTGTAAAAACAGTAATATTGTGAAATATTATTATAACTTAAAATAACTGTTCTATTTGAATATATATAAAAAAATAATGTATTCATTTATTCCTGCCATTTATTCCTGTACTGTAAAGCTGAATTTTCAGCATCATTACTCCAGTCTTCAGTGTCACTTGATCCTTCAAAAAACATTCTAATATGCTGATTTGATATTTAAAAAATGTCTTATCAATATTGAAATCAATTGTGCAGCTAAATATATTTTTGTGGAAACGGATACATTTTTTTCAAGATTCTTTGAAGAATAGAAAGTTCGATTTAATGCATGCTTGCTGAATAAAAATATTACATTTAAAAAAAAAATTGTATTGACCCTAAACCCCAAAAACTGACTGTGCACAATTCATTAATTAATTAATATATATATATATATATATATATATATACACACACACACACACACACACACACACACATACATACATACACACAGTGGTGTAATGTAACGAAGTAATAATACTTCGTTACAGTACTTAAGTATATTTTGGGAGTATCTGTACTTTACTTGAGTTTTTATATTTCAGCCAACTTTTACTTTTACTCCACTACATTTCCTAATTAAAATGTATACTTTTCCTCCGATACATTTCCCCCAAAGCATATTAGTTACTTAGTACAAAATAGTCAGAAGTCAGAAGAACACGGACTGCAGGAAAGCAGGTTTGACGAATCAGTGGTCTGGCATTTGCAAGTTAGATTCATGCTCATGTGCAAACAAGTGCGACCACAACCGCGGATGATTCATTTTCCACTCAAGTTGAGTCTGGGGAGTGCGATACAGCATCGTCCGCGATAATATGGAAAGTGTTGTTGTAATGATGTGCGATCGGACATTATCAAGTAGGCTATATCACCAAATCACACACAGAGTGCACGCACGTTGATTTATTAGTCTATTAAAACTCAAAATTCCAGGCATTCTAAATTGTAAACGGCAAAAATGCTTTTGTATGCTTTTTATATTTATATAATTTAATATAGTTAACTTAATCTATATCACACAAACAGTACCGTTTTTCTGCAGATATCAGCATGAACACATTTAATAATCATTTTATACAAGTTCAGTAAAGCGATAAGTGACTTACATTTTAGACATAATATTGCTTGTTTTTGCTCAATTTTGCCAACGAAAATAGTTCCAAAAAAAGATCACAGCACTGTTTTGCGTCTCTGAGCAATGGATGGTGTTTACTTATTGAATGAATCAGCTTTTTGAACGAATCGGTTGAATAAATCATTCAGTGATTCACTCATTAACACAGTCACATGCTTTGTTTCTGAATGAATCAGTCGTTTGAATGAATCGGTTGAATCTCAATGACTCACTCATTAACGGTCCCTTGCGGTCACCTACTGGCGGTTTTAGTTTCACATTTCGTCATGTTTTAAATAATTTCAAATATCAGAATTTAGTTTTATGTTAAAAACAAAACATTATTTATGCATCTGTAACTGCAGTTTAAATGCATCCATGTCCCCTCTGAGATACATAAACTGTGTAAATACACCTAAATGCTATTTCAGATGCAGATCCCAGAAATGTTTTCTTATGTTCGAATGAAAGACACTAAGTACCGGATGTAGTGCTTCTTATTCTTACCCAAAAATACAAAATGGAAGAAAGAGTTAAAACTGAACACACTATTGCTACTCAAGCGGTGTATGAACATTTTTTAATATATATAAACAATATTCTTTTTGTACTTTTCATGTCCCAGTGTACCTTCTGCCAGACCTATTGTGTTTGCTCTTCATCATCATACTCTTCATCTTGAGCTCCATGATGGACGGCAGGACTAGAGGAACAGCCACACAGAACAGAGCGAGCTGAGGCGGCAGCAGAACTCCAGAGTCTGTCTTCCTCTTCTGACCCTGCAGGAACTTCAGGCTGCCCTGAAACTGCATGTTCTACAGGACACAAGAGCAAATCAAAGAGAGACAAATTCAGTCGACATACTGTGTGGAAACTTACATTTGGGAAAGTCTGAGACTCCTAATTAAAGCTTCTCAACCTTAATTACATACGTCAGATCAGAGTTTGAAAGAGATCATAAAACCACTAAAGTTCAATATTTTGAGTGATTTCATGACTGACCAGAAAGGCAGAAGTGCTGTCCAGCAGGCAGCGGACTCGAGCGACGAAGCACCGAGTGAGGAATGGAGACAATTTAGGAGGAACGCCGTCAGGCTCTTCAGAGCTATATAGATGACCCATCACAGCATCCTCATCAACTAGAGCGCACAGAAACAGACATAGTTCAGAAACTGATGACTCGAGTGTCTAATGACAGACAAATGGCTGGAGCTTATAAGCTTCAAAACGGATGTAAAACAGCAAAAACGTATCAAAAATATTCCATACAACTTGCCCAATTTATTCCCAGTCTTCTGAGATCACATGCAGTGTGCTATTTAGGGTTAATGGTAATTATACACACACACCAGTGTCTTGCTGGCCAGGGTTCATCGCCCAATGGAGCTGCCTGTGAAACTCCTGTCGCTCCTCCACATGGATGTAATCAAAGACCTTCTGATGCATCACGTCCGTCTGCCAGAAAAGATCACACACACCAACACAAAACCAGAATGTGTATATTTCAGAAGCGCTCTAGCTCTCACATGAGTGTTTCGTACGGACCTCTACACAGTTGTATGGGGTACAGTAAACAACTGCTCTGAATAGTCTAATTCAGTTTTACGTCAAACCACATTAGAAACATGACTGATCAAAATGTAATTGTGGAGTAATTGCTGTCACTTTAAATGCTGGTAAAACCTTTTTCAAAGACATTTTAGGCTGTGAGGTTCCTAGCAGATAGTCAAATGACTTCATAATTCATGCAATTATTATTGTGCGTTTGCTTCGGTTACTATTAATAATCATTTAAATGTCAGAGCTATGGCACAGAGCAGTGCACCACTAAGAGCTGACATTTATAGCTGTTATGCTTGTAATAACCCATGTTTGAGTTCAACATAGGTCTTGTACTGTTCCTCTCTATCCTTTGTACTGTCCCCAAGTGTTTATTGCGTGACACCCTGGCTGCTTGCATGCGGACAGACATGTCTCTACACTGAAGAACAACCAAACAAAAGCCTGAAATACCAGCCCACATGACCAAACCCGCTGTTAATGAACAACAAACTATTTAATACTACAAAATATTCAACCTTTCCTTTATTTCCCAGTGTGGGACATGCAAGGCTTTTAGCACACTTTCATGACCAACACACCCCTGTGTCATCTTAACTTCCAATCAACATTTCCTTCTTGGAGGAGATGGTTTGTTTGCAGAGGAAGCCTGACTCTTTGAAGGCTGTGAGAAAGTCTTAAATTAACCGTGGAGTGAAAAGACGTAACTATTTTTACACATTATGGTGGCAGAGGCATTGAACTCGACATACTTCTGTGTTTTCCAGTCAACCACATATGGCGTGGGTATTTCTTATACAATCACACATGATTGTTGTTTAGATTTCTCTGATGAGACAGGAATTTTATTTGAGAACAGTTTAAAAAGCTAAAATGGGTCACATACTGTATTTATATATTACTTGTTTGGATTGTCACATATGAAAGCTAATTACACATAGTACTACAATAACTGCCGTGCAGTGAAATACTTCTCTCTCTAAAAAAATTTAAAATAAAATATATATATATATATATACATTAATAATAATGCAAACATGTTATATTAGGATTAATTTTTATTTATTTTTTTTCATAGGAGTGAAAAGACGTAACTATTTTTACACATTATGGTGGCAGAGGCATTGAACTCGACATACTTCTGTGTTTTCCAGTCAACCACATATGGCGTGGGTATTTCTTATACAATCACACATGATTGTTGTTTAGATTTCTCTGATGAGAACAGTTTAAAAAGCTAAAATGGGTCACATACTGTATTTATATATTACTTGTTTGGATTGTCACATATGAAAGCTAATTACACATAGTACTACAATAACTGCCGTGCAGTGAAATACTTCTCTCTCTAAAAAAATTTAAAATAAAATATATATATATATATATAAACGTATTAAATGTGAGTATTTGAACAAGTTATAGGATGTTTTAGATCATAAACATTTCTTATTTGAGGGTTACCTGATGAAATCCCAGGTAGTCAACGATAGTGCATGATGCATAGAAAATAACGCCATCCGAGCTCACGATCAGTGCAAATCCAGGGAGCGACTACAAGATATTAAATATATGTCAATAGTCATGTTACTAAAATTGTATGTGCAAAAATAAAAGTTTTTTTTTTTCAGTAGATTGGGCCAAAGAATTTCAGTTGACCAAGGAAACATTTTTTCTTTGACAAGAAACCATTTCTAAACTGTAGTGTAGAAAACTCCAGACATAAGCTCACAGCAAAGCAGTCACCTTTAGGAGAAGATCCCTCTCTATGACACGGGGCAGGATTTCTTTCTTCTGCTCCGAGGTCGAGGTATCACTGCTGCGATTTTCTTTCTCTTGGACTGCTGTGAGGAACAAGAGCACACAGTGAAAGAGATGGAAACAGAGATACATTTCTGTATGATAGAGTGTCACAGGAAAATACAATCCTTTGAAATGACCAGGATTTCTGCATCTGATATCAAGTCAACATTCATTTAAGCAGCTGTGTCGTTTCTTACTGAACAATTTTTTTAAACAAGATCTTTAATAAGGAAACCCCCCTGTCTCATTTAAGTCTCACAAATAAAGAGAACCAGGACATTCACAATCGACAAAACCTGCTGATCATCCTTCTTCATTAAGCATCTGCTCTTAGTCAATCCATTTCAGATGTATTTTCCCAATTTCACGATCGGTTGAGAATGACTGCAAAGCATCGTAAAAAAAAAAAAAACGAGGCAGCCCAAGTGCTCTTCATTAGCCGTGCAAACCTAAAATGAGAAAGATCAAAATCTCATGAAATAATTCACATTTTTTTGTCTTCTTCGGTTAATTTTGTGGGAACTTCAATACCAAATATCAAAGTGAAGAAGACAACCACAAACAGACTGAGCAGATTTATTCAGCGAGGTTTATTCAACCCAAATATATCACACACATAATCTGGATTTAAACCAGATTTGTTTTCTTATAAGCAGCCATTTTAAATTGACATATGCACATTCATTCTTTCATCATTTTAAGCTGTAGCTCTCAAGAGAGGTTTCTCTGACCCCTGTAGAGTTAAAGGGATAGTTCACCCAAAAATGAAAATTTGATGCTTATCTGCTTACCCCCAAGGCATCCAAGATGTAGGTGTCTTTGTTTCTTCAGTAGAACACAAGCAAAGATGTTTAACACAAACCGTTGCAGTCTGTCAGTCATATAATGGAAGTGAATGGAAATCACAGCTTTGAGTAAAAAAAAAACATGCATAACCACCACCTATCTCTCAAATGGACCATTGACACTCTATCTACAATCTCAATTAGGAGTGTCAATGGTCCATTTGAGAGACAGGTGGCGGTAATGCACTTATAAGTCTGCAATCCGCCGTAAAGCAAGAAGACGCGTCATGTACCGGCTGTTGAGTACACGCTCGGGACAGTTCGGACATTTCGGTGAATCAGAGGTAAAAAACGATATAAATACTGTTCAGTTTCTTGCACAGAACGATCGTTTCGTGTCTTTACACATCAATGTATCGTCACGAGCCGTAGGGTTTAATTTGGTTTTGTTTGTGTATGTTTTTTTTACTCTCAAAGCCGTGATTCCCATCCACTTCCATTATATGACTGACAGACAGCAACAGTTTGAGTTAAAAATCTTTGTTTGTGTTCTACTGAAGAAACAAAGTCACCTACATCTTGGATGCCCTGGGGGTAAGCAGATAAACATCACATTTTTATTTTTGGGTGAACTATCCCTTTAAGATGTCAAAAACAAAATACAATAAACGATAAAGACTTTCAGCTGACAACATGTGTACTGCTCAGGGTTGCTAAACTGTCACTCCATATATGTCTGACTATCAACCAAACCTATACATTTTATCATTCAATAATCAATCAATCTTGTGCTTAATAACATGAGGGAATTCTCTATCATCTCTCTCTAAAGACTCGTTTTCCATTCATTCACTTCATGTCTGCTGCCAAACAAGCCCAAATCTATAGGTGGATGAGCTACTTTTCACAAAATGTCTGTCCACAAGCAGCAATTTCATCAGAGTTGTTTTGATGAGGGGATGGAAATGAAAAACCAGATCTACTCTTGACAATTGAGGTTAGATTTACGAGCAGATGTGTGTTTGTATGCTGTGACTCAACAGACTCACTCTCTCTTTTCCCCTGCATTTTGTACCTCACTCAATGTCTTTAACACAAAAATCTCATCAAGTGCAAGTACAGAACACTAAATGGCATAATTCTCCTAAAAAATGAAAATTCAGTCATTATTTACTTAACTCTTACCCTCAACATTAGACCCCATTGACTTTCATTGAACATCCCTGTAACTGACAAGTAGTGACAAAAAATGGCTTAGCTTATAAATATTAATTAGGTTGTACATAATTTAACACAATATTGATCTGTTTGGAAAAATAGTGTTATTGCTTCGGGGATCATGTCTGAAGTAGAGTATTTGCTTATTCTTAAGACAAAATGGGCTGTAAACAATAATATTCAGTTTAGAAATGTCCCAAAATCAGTTCCAACAGCAAATTAAGTTGCTATTTTTCACACAAATCAGTAATGACAAATGCAAAAGCCACTCAGCAAAACATTAAAAATAACAGAATCCAGCATATTACAGCACACTGTATTACAAAAAGTACTAAAAGTGTCCATTTCTTGCATAAAACTTTCCTGGAAAAATCCTTCGCATGTTTAAACAAAGAAATTGAACCTAATGTGACTGCCACAATGAATCTAAAAAAACTATTTAAAAAAATGAACTTGAGAAGAGTGCGTTTAAGTCGTCATTTTATGAAACACCTGCCCTTGGAAACTTTAACAACATCCTTTGTGCTTTGCGTTTCGATGCTTTATTTTTTTTCTAGCGTTTTCCTTTCTTTCCTAACATCTTTTGTATGCAAAATATATAAAAGAAAAACATTAAAAAGAGAATTCACACAGTAAGATTACTATAGCCCCCCAAACATATGCAATACATAATTGCTGTGTAAGTAATGTAACACTCGGATGCATTTGGTTGCATACAATTACTTCACCCATTATGTGTGTGTGTGTGTGTGTACTGAAGGAAGAATAGGAGATACAAGAGAGGAGGAGGAAGGCTTAGTGAACTCATTTTTACATTGCTGGTCTCCTGCGCTCTGATGAACAGATCATTAGATCATTTTTCACTGGCGTCCCTCTGAGGTCAGGCTCTGGTGAACTACAGTCACGCAAACCCAGCTTTACTACGGGCTCTTAAAGGGCCAGAGCTTCCTTTAAGAACCTGCCCAGACTAATAGACTGACCACTAATGCATCCATCCACTAAAAAAAATTTATTTAGTCATTTATGCTTCCCAAGGCTGTTTATTTGATCAAAAATACAGTAAAAACGGTAATATTGTGAAATATTACAATTTAAAATGGTTTTGTATTTGAATATATTTTAAAATGTAATTTATTCCTTTGATGCAAAGCCAGTCTTGGAAACAAAGATATTTTCAAGATTCTTTAACGAAATCCATCCATCCAATTTAACAATTCTTCTATCCATCAATTCATACTATCCAACCTGGGTTTCCTGGGCAATTGGTCACGTGACACAAACATAACAGACCACTGCGCAGCCATATGTGCTCCGATGGTAGATTTTTTTCATATCACTAGCACTAATGGCAATGGCTTTCCAACTGAACTCAGCTTAACCTTGCCAAAGGGGGGTCAACATGCGCGTTTCATGAACTAATGGTTGTGGTGTGAGAGAACCTGAGTTTGGAAACTGTTTTCACATGAGATCATGCATCAGTCTGCTG